CTGAGGACCACCCCCCCGACCCCGCCCCGCCAACCCCGGCCCCGGCTCTCAGGGAGGAGGAGCCTGGGGAGGGATCGTCCCACCCTCGCAGGATTAAGAGGTCTCTCTCGGAAGGATCCTAGGGAGATCCTTCCGGCCGCTGAAGGCTCAGACCCGGGGCGCGCGGGGCCAGCTCAGCCCTCCAGCAGCCTCCCCAGGTTGCACACCCCAAGACCCTCCCGAGCAACCCACTCTGAGCGGGAATATCCAACTCAGCGACATGGACTTCCTTTGCTCTGTTCCTTCAGAAAGCTTGTGCTATTTAATGTGTCCGTCCACACTGGCAGAGACCGGGGGACAAGCAAAAGAAGTTAATGAAATGCTTTCTTTAGGTTGGGGGGTCAAGACAGGGTGGAGCGGGGGAGAGCTGGGCCCAGATGCATAGAGGAAAGTGCCAGAGGCCCAAGCCACTGCCCCTGCGACTGGTGAAAGGGTAGGAGGGACTGGGGCAGGGTACTTTGGGGAAACTTATAGACAATGTCTGGGGAAGTAGATAGGATTTATTTTTTACAATTCAAGAGCACAGAAGTAGAACCTGTTGGCAGAAGTTTTACGGACCCAGATATTTGGCTGAAAAATACACCAAACAAACAAAATTGTCCACAAGTAGCCTGAGCTGCTTTTGTGAGGGATGGCATCCCTGGAAGTGTTCGTTCCAGGTGCACAGAGAGCACAATGGCCCTGTGTGGGGTGGGAGGGTCTCTGCATCTGTGACTGGGGCGGAGGCGACAGCTCCCTTGGGAGCCCTCCTGACCCAAATGCTGGTCACCTGTGTATGTTTTATCCTTGGAAGAGAGGCGATCATTTCTAAAGCAAGATACCATTTGGACTAAACCCCTGTGAATTAGGTATATGGGAAAGAGTCAAAGCAATATCGTTTTAGGTTTTTATTTGATGGTGTTTTTGAGGTCTAGATATACACCAATGAGGCAAGTAAGCATTGGTGTGTGGCTTGAAATATAATCCAATCATAATTGCCTTCCCCATCGTGCACCTCGAAGTTGTCACAGCCAGCACAGACCAGGAGCCGAACACTTAAGCGGCTGGTTGGTGGCCCTTGCGTCCTGGCCTGGCTTAGTGTGGCAGAGTATACTCCTCTGCGGCAGGGAAGACCTGGTTCTGAGCAGTGGTGGCATGAACACTCCATGCAAGGGGGGCAAGAAAGATGCCATATGACCTTCACAGGCTGACCTGCAAAGATCACAGGCAGTGGGCTCCTTGGGGGAGGCCTGGATGAGACACAACCCCTGATGGTCAGAGTATGTCCCCCAGCACCTTGGCACATTGGCCCCCAGAAGGTCTGTAAGGTGGGGGAGACCACTCAGTGGAATGGAGATTTGAAATAAAACGTAGCACACTGACAATCAGATTTAAAAAGCCACACTTCTTTGATTCTGTATATTTTACCACACACAAAAACACACACATGCACACACACAAATGTTGGGGCAAAAAAGGCTCTACTCTTTGCCCACTTGAATTTGTGGACTGAGACATCAACCTGCTCTAAGAGTTTGGGGCCGTGTGCAGTTGGAAGCTGTGTGTAGCATATTTTGACCTTGGCTCCTCTCTGAGGCTTCAGTGAAGGAGTCCCCTCAGGGCTGTACTGTTGTCAGGGTGTGACAAAACTAAGAGCCCCCCAAATAAGCCAGGTGTTTGCAATTGTTCATGTGAGGGTAGTTCCAACTTCTTTCTAGAAACTAAGATAATTATAGCAAGGAACAGGAAGTCCCCTCCCCCCCCAAAAAAAAGGTGACAGAAAGGAGAGGGAACATTGCCCAAAGTTTTCTTTATATAGGAATTATTTATCATAGAGAGGTGGGAGCAGGAGATAGGAGACACCCTAAGTGGGAGCAGCATTCCTCAGACTTGGAAGCAGATCACTGTGTGTGGTTGGTTCTGGGGCTGTGAGCAGGCTGGGCCCAGCTTTCTGCAGAAAGCCAGGTTCCACAGGTCTAGGGCATGTCCCCAGCAGTCCATGAATAGGCAGGGCCAGGCCATGGCTCTGTGAGACGGGCAACTCTGAAGGGTGGACATGCCCGCCTTACATCACTGCATAGGAAGAAAAGCATATAGGTGCTGCACTGTGTGAGGAGGAAATGAGAACTCTCCTTTGTGCAAATGGATCTCAGCTTTAGGATTCTAGTCTGAAAAAGCCTATATAGCATTGGCTTGAGGCCCAGGGGCCAGCCAGCTAACCAGATGCCTTCTCCAGGGCTGGGGAGAGGAGTAGAATTGTGGTGAACTGAAAAGTAGCAGGCTGACAAAAGGTACTCTTGTTTACATTTTTAAAAACTGTGCCAAGAAAACCTGTCTGGGAATGCAATTCCCAAACCACCTCATTTTTGATCCTCATTTTATAGATGAAGGAAGAGAATTGCAGCAGGGAAGTCTGTTCACAGCAGGATGATTTTAACCAGAGTTTATCGTTGGCCATGAGGTAATGGCTTTTAGAATATCTCATTCTAACACCCTCAGCTCTTGCCACGCCTGTACTCTGTCCCCTGCGGACAGCAGAAAGAGCACCCTGAATCTAGCCCACACCAGGACATATCAAGGTATGTGCACCTCAAAAATGGGGCACACTGACATGGAAGGATCATGAACACTGAGCTCATAGGGATGATTTCCTGTTTTTCTGAATTATGATTCTAGAAGGCAGTGAATTGGAGCTCTGAAACCTGGCACCATCAGGGGCACACAGAAAGACCCTCAGCACTTGAAAGGGACACATGCCACCAGTGTGGACTCAGCTAATGACTTAGTTATTGTGACATCTAAAACCCTGCAGCACCTTCTCCTCAGAGTCCTCGCTTGGAGCAGTTTGTAGCTCAGCTGGCATCAAGGCTGTAGTTGAAGTCCGCCCCACGGCCCCTGCCAACCACAGGACCACGCCTTTCTCTGAGCTAGTGGGCTAAATGTGGGTTATAGGGAAACTAAGATTAGAACAAGAAAGTGTCTTGTTTGGAATGCGCGTCACCTAATCTGATCCAGAGGCAGGAGGGAGCAGCACCTGCTGGGACCCTTCCCATAAATGGAGCAGGTTTTAATTCAGCCCGTTTTCTACCATCAGCAGTCTCACAAAGGGCTCTCCAAAGGCTTTGACGTCAGCAAAATCAACCTCCACAGCCTTCTCTCCATGGGCCTTTGTGCATAGGAGGCTAGAGCCCCCAAGAACTTTTTGGATAGTCCTGGAGAGGCCTCTCCATCCCAGGTGATCCCATTAAGTCAGGACAGGGGGAACCATCTCAGTCTATGCAGAAACTCCGAAATTCTGAAAAGTCCTTCTCTTGAATTAATTGCCCTTTTGATGATGAGATGGCTCTTTCACATTCTCCTTTTGCTTAATTCCCCCTTAAAACAGGCCCGAGTGCCCTCTGGATACAGTGAGGACATGCCAAGTGAGAGCAGTGGCTGAGTCAACAGGATCAGGCAGTTCAGTGAAAATTCCTTTTTTGGAAGCCAGGCAGTCACTTTCCAGGACTGCTGAATCCTTGGGAAGTGACGCAAGCCCAAGTGCGAGAGAGGCAGGAGCAAGCACTCCTTGGAAGGTGCCTCCTTGGAAGGTGCTCCGAATCCCCTGCCTGAGAACTGAGCAGCTTCTGGGGCGCTGTCCTTTCACCCAAGACTTCAGCGCACAGGGCGGTGGGAGGGGCTCTCTCAGAAGGGCTCCTTATATAGAAAACAGTTGACAAAGGAGGCTCCCACAGACAGTGCAGGGATTGCTTTTGAGCAGTCTGTGAAACTCCCTTTGCCAGCAGCGTGTCTTATTCTATTATCACCATCAGAGAAGAGCGTGGGTTCTGAGGAAATGTCACAGTGGTTCCTTTACTGTTTCCCCTCCAGTCTGTGGGCCGCTTGTTCCTGGTCCACTTCTCAAGGTAGGCAGTTCAGAGAGATACATGGTGCCAGCACAGGACTGGAGTGGGCACTGGTGACAGGCACTGCCGAGGGGAACTCTGGGCTGTGTTTGTGAAGGGAAGAAACCTCTAGGCTCACCAGGGATGGCCTGACAGTGGGCAGGAGCCACAGAAGTGGTTTGGGGTGCAGGAAACCCTTGCTCCCAGGGTTGGTGAACAGCCTGTGGGGGCTCTTCACTGTGCCTGAGCTGTCAGCCAGGAAAGGAGAAAGGTATCTGTGGCAACGTTTCTTAATAGGAAACCCGCCAATCTGAACAGGAGATTTATCTCCTAGCATCTGTGACCCTTATTCTAGTAGTGGTACCCCATTTCTTTTGGGGAGCCACCTCCCCACCTGACCCAACTGGTTGGGGCTAGCCTTCCCAGTCTGCAGGATCAGGCACGTGGCCCTGTGTGTCACACCGGCTTGCGGTGACTGCGGTGGGGGGCCTGGTGCAGGGAGTCCCTCTGGAGGCCGCCCAGAACTTCCTGCTCTGGGGCCGACATCTTGTTTCCACGTGAAGCGGGCCTGCCTGGGGATGACGCCAGCTCAGAGGCAAACAGGACTAAGAGATGAAGAGCCAGGTTCCTGGCCCCCTTGTTCCAGAGCCCATGTCGGCTGCACCTACAGCTAGAGCCCCGCTGTTTTCCTTGGCTGCCTCCTGGCTTAAGGCAGCCAGAGTCAGAATTCTGTCGCTTGTGACCAAGGGTCCCAACTGAGAATGCAGGCGACATTAGGAAGTGAAGACACGGTCTGCTAGCATCATGTATCAGGAGCCAAACAGCTTGTTTTTTTAAGAAAAAGGCTGAAAGTGCTGCTTGAAGACCTTCCTTAAGTTTTTGGGTCCCTTTGAGCTCATTTAGGACCCACATTAAGAAAAAAAAACAACAATAAAAAAACACAGCAACATTTCACAGCTCATTAGTTTTGTTGCACCATGTACTAATAAAGACTTAAGAGTGATTGTATCTGTAAGCAAAAGATTTCCAACTGAATTTTGCTTCTGTATGGAAGATGAAACGGACACCAGGAAGTATTACGCATATTACTATTAACTCTTGTGATTGGTTTATTGTAGGAGGTGAGGAGCCAAAAGGGCCTATTGCAGGTGACATTGCTCCTTAGCCACCCAAGACATCCCTGTTTCTGAGTCCTTTCCTTCCCACATGGAGGTACCTACACATCTCCTCCCACTCAGGGCATCCAGCTGCACAGTCCCTGTGTCATGTGTCATCAAGCCCCTTTCCATTCACCTGGGTACACTCCTGAGCAGAAGTGATGGACAGCTTACAACTGCATATGTATGTAGTGTATAAGTGAACATAAGCATCTTCAAAATTCACCACTTGAGAAGGAACACATGGGTCAAGGCTGGCTAAGCCCTTCAGAGTGCAACCCTATCCAACCATGAATTTCTGCCTGGAGTGCAACCCGGGAGAAGTCTGCTCTTCTGTGTCACCCAGGACTCGGAGCATGTGCTTGCCCGTGTAGATGAGGAAGTGTCCAGTGACTTGGGCAGCATGGGACAGGAACCGCAGCAGGCTCCTGCAACAGAAAGGACAAGGCTGGGAGTTCTGAGCCAGTGAAGAACAGATGGAGTGGGAATTTTTCACAACCCCTGTCCCCTAAACCTGCGCTCAGAGTAGGCAGCACTCACATCCTCCCTTCATCCCACTTGAGTTAGTGAACACACAGATGCTACTCAGCATATCTTAGCGGGACCTGGAACTCTGTTTCTGGTGAGCTCTCAGGTGATGCTGATGACACGGACTGGGACTACCCTTCCACTAGCCACCTTCAAATGTGGCCTGTTGTTCAGTAACTAGAAAGAGCTGAGTAGGCTCCTGAGGATACACACTATGTCCTATCCTTTGGCCACTTGCTTGTTCTGGTGGTCTTGGGTGTATGGGCCATGTTACTGAAATCAGTCAAGTCAGGTGTGAACAGAGAAGTCAGGCTGAAGGAGAGGCTTACAAAAATTGCAATTGTGATTCTGTGACCCAGTTTGCTGGGGGGGGAGGGCAAGACACCCCCACTTGACCCTGTTGTGGCATCTAAGGCCTAAGGCCGAGTCTGGCATTCATGTTTTTTTAGACTAAAAAAGTAGCTCTCACTCAAATTCTTATACTCTTCCAAGTTCAAAGCTAAAGGGCTTCATTCCAGTTTTAAAACTGTCGTTTCATAAGGACAGCCCAATCTGGGGCTCAGCTGTGCTAGTCGGGATCCCACGGGGGGCCCTGACAGGGGATGCCTTCAATTCTGGGGCCTTTGTGACTTCTGTAGCTGCTTGTGATGTCCTCAGACCTATCAGATGATAAGAATTAGTGACAAGAAGGCTGAATTTTTGATGAAGAGAGGTTTACTTTATCATACTTTTCTAAGTTATAATTTTCCTGCCTCACTTTGAAAGTCAAGCAATCAAGCATCTTGGTCAAGCATTTCAGCAAAAAGAGGAAGCTTTTCTGGGAGTCAAGATTTCAACAGCAGGACAATAACAGTTGTCTAGGAATTGGCCACTGATGGTTCTGGTGGGAAATGGAGGCCAAGCCGAAGCCACCCTGGACCTGACCTTGTGCCAGACCCTGGAGACCCGTTAGTGGAGAGCAGTCCCATTTCCAAAGCATTCCGCCCCCGCCCCCCGATTCCTGAGGAGATCAGAGCAGTTCTCACAGGACAGTGGAGAGAAGGGCTCTTAGAGAAGCAGGCAGGCCCCTGCCCAGCGGGGCTGTGCAAAAAGCGTGGAGACAGCAGTTACAACCTTTTTCCACCAGCTCCAAGGTCCTTCTGCGATTGTCATTCTCTCCTTCCACCCATCCCTCCACACGGAATTAGTGCTATAGAGGATCAATGACGAATTTACTGGAGGGACAGGTGGAGGTATATCCAGATTCTATGCAATCATGATGAACTTGGAAGCAACTTTCTCATTTTAAAGATGACAGAGGCTCAGAGAATTTAAGTAACCTGTTAAAGGTCACACAGCTGGTTGCTTAGAGGTAAGGCGGAGAGAAACTGTAGGTGTTCCTCTCAGGCTAGGGCTTAGTGACAGGGTGTCCAACTTGGTTCCACCCAAGGAGTGTTTCTGGTGAACACACAGAATTTGTCCACATAGGTTGATTATGCACCAGGAGTCTGTCTTCTATAGGCTCCCCTGTGATGCTGTGTAACCAGCCCTGCCCCAGCCACGTTCTCACGCCACCTTACCACTAGCTTCAAGTTGGCAGTGACGCCGAAATACTGCCAAAGAGCACTTATCTGGGTTTGGGTGGCTGCTCTTTACAAAGCAGGTCAGAATCTCCATGGCTCTGATTTTCACTGTCATTGCTTAGAATTAAGGTTAAAAAATGCACACCTTTGGTTTTTAAAAGAAATTTGGTTCTCCTTTACATGTATTAAATTTTTGTTTCCATTAAGTATTTAATGGTCTTTGGAGAAAAAAGTGCGTATATTTTGGATGAAGGTTTTCTGTTTTCTGAAATAAGTCTGGCATAAGAGATAAACTACCGTATGACAATATGAATTTGAGTGAACTTCAACGGCCGCTAATCAGGTCAGGGCCTCCGAGGAGCAAGCAGGGGACGAGCTGCCTGGGGATGGGCCGCATGGCCCGAGCTGCATGTCCTTTCCAGACCCCTCAGTTGACCCTGAAATCTGTTACCTCAGCAGAGCCCTGAGCCCTGTACACCGGAAGTCGTAGGACACTGAGTACATCTCATACATGGTGGCCTTCACGTTGAGGCAGCCGAAGACATCCTTGGGACTCAGCTTGTACAAGTCAAAGGTGACTCTTGCTATTCCCGATTTCTTTGGTTTTTGGCGGGCGGCGATATAATTAGTACCCTAGAGCAGCAAGGGAGGAAGAGAGATAAGGCGCATCCCACCTGTGACATGAAAATCCTGTAATTCTGGTTTCATGCTAGTTTTGACTGCCAGTTTAAAATCTGTTAGTGACTCAGGTGCTGATTATTTGAGGAATGTTTTTAGCAGAGTAATGTGCTTATACTGCTAGTGTATCCAAACACATAAGAAAGTATCCTTCCTTAATCTACTTTGAGTTTAGTGACACAGGACGACTGTGATTTGGCTTCAGGGCCTTGGTTTCAGGATCCAGGGATCAATGGATGGTTGTGCTGTTGATACATGGTATTGAGAGGCACGCACACTCATCACTGAGGGTGACCACGGTTACTTGATTGACATAGATGGTCTCATGACTATGACACAGTCTGATTAAAGAGAAGAAGACAGAATCCCCCCCCCCATTTTATGTGAGGCTTCTGGGCAGAAAGTTTCAGAATCACATGTCTAGAGTAAAGGACACTGTGAGAACTCTCCTAGGGCATCTCCTATTTTCTAGTAACTGCCCTGGAGAAAAGCTGACTTCCTGAGGGCACTGAAAGCTGTTTGGGTCCAATACCCACTCTCAGTCTACCTGAAACATCGCAGGCCCTTCATTGTGGGAAGAGAAAGTGTTTACAAACAGCACTGCAATATCTTCCCCACCAAGAGCTTTGAAAAACCAAGAGAAAAGAGCTGTCCCGGGGCACATATGCCAGACCCAGGGCCTGCTCTTCTTCTGGTTTGTTCCACACCCAGATCTTGCAGTGTTAAGGTTCAAATGTACATAAATCAACACAGTTACAAAGCCTTATTGATTCTGGGGTTAGGAATAGTTAAGGCTATAAACGTTAAATTCATAATGAAAATAACCTACTATAATTGAGGTTAAAACAAATTCTCATTAAAGTATTCTAACCCTTCTTGCTGGGGCCCCTTCTCTCCTCCCACAGAACATACACAATGAGAGATTCTGGCTGTTGCCCTATGTTGAAGGCACAAGAGGTCCTGCAGCCTCTTTACTTTAGAGGGTGCAAATGCTCCATCATTTAGGAAACATTTTAAAAAGTCAAGATTACAGAATCAAAAGGGGTTTTCACCTATAATCCTACCACAACTCTTCTATGTTGCCTCAAGTTCCTTTCTGCTTTATGAGTTTTTTATCTTACTTTCCCAAAATGTCTTCCTTGAGTCTGGTCTTAAATCCAAACTAAGATGTGCTCACAAAGCTAATTCACTTGTAATCTGACTCAGGGCACGTGGGGGGTCTGTACTGCTGACTAAGGAAGAAGGAAATGACTCCTCCTTGCCCTCTTCCTGAAAGGCCTTTCAGAAGCTGCTTCCTCACAGGCTTTAGGGCATTTAGACTGAAGAAGAGAGACCCCTGGTGGTTATTTCTGAGCTGGGTGTTCTTGTCCAAGTCAAATAAAATTGGCCTCACTAGTAAAAACCCCTCCAAGTGGGTGGGGTCTATCCTTCGCTGTGAGATACACATCTCCACCTTGAAGGATGGTGATTGAAAAGCGGAAGTCAAGGAAAGCCTTCAACCCAAACGCACATGTCACCCAGTCCGCTACTAGACTGAGATGGCTTTTTGGCCTCTCCTTAAACCACCGTATCTCAGACTTACTTGTATCCCATGTTCCCTGTCACTGCCCTCTACTTTAGCTTGGCATCCCAATGCCCATCCATACCTGGGGCTTACCCATGGTACATATGTTACATATTAACCAATTCCCCTCACCCCATGACTCCTATGATTTACTGGCATGAATACCAGTTTTAAAGATACTTTATTTTAAATTGTATGCTTTTTATAATTGGTCTGTAGTTTTCTTCTTTCACTTAGAAAAATAACGAAGTATTTGACATGTATAGGAGTATGCATACAACATACATATAAATAAGGAATAATAAGAGGATGCGTGTACCCACTCTACATTAAAAAAAACAACAGTATAACCCTATGTGCCTCTCTCAATTATATTCCTCCACTTCCTAAGGAAAAAACAACCTAAGTTGTGCATCATTCTGTTACTTTTAAGAAAAATTTTAGCACATGTGTATCTTAAGCATTATATAGATAATTTTACATTTTTTTAAATTACCTATAAATGGTTAAATATAGAGGTTCTCAAAGTGTAATTTGGAGACATCTTGGGTATCCTGAGACCTTTTCAGGGGATTGAGAGGTCAAAACTATTTTTATAATAAACATTAAGGTGCAATTTGCTTTTTAATTCTCATTCTGTCACAAGTAGCGGCATTCTCCACTGTACAATTGGGAAAGTTGCATAACTCAGTGAATCGGTATTTTCTAAATGACCAATGTGTGATGGTAAAAGTCATCCCTGCCAAAGAGATCCATTAAAGTGCAAGATAGACCAAGGGATCCAAGGCAAAAGCTGAGGCAAACTTCACAGGTATACCTTCAGATCCCTACTGTAGCCAGGATTTTGCAAAGCATCCCTTGTTGAGTTTTGATGTTGTGTCAAGAAGAATATCCTCAATCATCAGAAAAGACCATTAAAATACTCTTTCCTTTCCAGCTACCTATATGTATGAGGTCATAATTTCTTCACATACTTCCATCAAAACAATATTGCAGCAGATCTAATAGAGACAAACTTGAAAATTTAGCTGCCTTTTATTAAGCGAGACATTAAAGAAGTTTGCAAAAATGTAAAGCAATTTTACTCCTCTCTAAATATTTTTGTTTTGAAAAAGTTATTTTTCATAAAAATGTGTGATTTCCATTAACTGTATTGGGTTATTATTTTTAATGTAGTAGTACATTTAAAAAAATTCTCAATTTTAATTTTGAATATAAGAACTATCTCTATCTGTAGCTTAGAATTTCTAAGCCTTGGCACTGACATTTGGGGCCAGATAATGCCTCATTGCGGGGGCTACCCTGTGCATTGCAGAATATTTAGTAATGTCTCTGATCCATACCCACTAGAGGTCAGTAGTATACCCCTGCCCCAGTGGTAAAAACCAAAAAGGTTTCAGACTTTGCTAAATATCTCCTGAGGGACGAAATAATCCCCAGTTGAGAAACCCTGATCAATGAATATCTATAGGTTCTATTGATATAACCCACAGATAAAAAGATACTTGGATCTTCATTAATTTTTAAGAGTGGAATGAGAGATCAAAAAGTTTGAGGACCAAAAAAAAAAAAAAAAAAAAAAATCTGAGGACCATTTGCTTCATGTATTATTCTGCCATGTTTTCATTCAACATAGCTGATGAGCTTTATCCATATAGATGCCTGTAGCTTTACCTCATGCATTTATCACAGTGTGTTTATATGTATTTATACAGAAGCACATGGCTGGGTATTGTGTGCTGGGTATATGTAAAAGAATGGACTTGGCTCAGCTCAACTCTATGAGATAAAGCCAAATTGCTTTAAATAGTTGTTGGTGGGAGCATAAGAGCATTCATTGTTCCACATCTTAAAAATAGGAAAAATTTAAAAGCCTAATAATACCAAATCTAGTAATGGTGTAAAAGAGTACCTTATTGTGATATCATGTTTCCTTAGTTACCAATGAGGTTGAGTATTTGTACTATGCTTTATTGTCCATTCTGCAGATGCCTGTCCCTGGTTTCTGCCCATTTTTCTGTTGGATCGTCTACAGTTTCCATTATTGATTTGCGTGAGTCCTTCAAGTTTGAGAAACACTAATTATTTAATGGCTTATCTTGGAAAAACCTTCTCCCCACTTGCAGCTTATTGTTTTACTTCCTTTATAGTATCTTTCAATGAACAAAATTCTTAATGAAGTTGAATTTATCATTTTAAAAAATGGTTTGTGTGTCGTGTTTTGTTTAAAAAGTAACACCCTGATGATGCCAAACAGACATATATTAGATCTTCTCAGTCAAGTCTCCAACTTCCTTCCTGTTCCCCACATCTCTCTTTCTGTGTTACAGTATGAGCATCTTCTTTAGACATAGCTCCAGGTCATTTATTATTATCTACAATCCTCTCTTAGTTTTCACTTACTTTAACTGCTATATTTTTCATTTCCAGAAATTCTATTTATCTTTCCAAGTCTATCTAGTTTTTAAAAGCTCCTTTTTTCCTTATTAGATTACTTTTTATATCTCTTTGAACATTTTAAATATACTGTATTTTATACTCTGTATCTGATGATCCGACATCTGAGGTCTTTGCAGTCCTGACTTTGTTATTTCTTTTTACTCTCACATTTAGTGCCTGAGTCCTTGTGTTTTGTGTTTTATTGTGAACTCACATTTGCTGGAACTTTAGGAACAAAAATTCTTTGAGGCCTGGGTTAGCCATTCATTTGAGCTTACTTGCTCCTGCTAGTTACATGGTGTACATCACCCCTGGATCACTGGGACTGGAAGGGAGGCTATTTGAATAAAGAACATTCAGTGAGTAAATTCCTTCCACTGATGCTTCTGCCCTGGATCTCTGTAAACTACACTTTCAGCTTGGGTGATTCTAGAATCGACAGTCCCTATAGCCTCAGGAAGGCAGCTGTCTCACAGATTCCCAAGAAAGACCTCTAATAGTTTCTGCTTTATGTGGGAATCTTTAATCTGACCCACACTTTTCTGTCAGCGCAAGGCCTTGTTTCCTCCTCCCAGCATCCATCAAAACCAAAGCCCTTAGTCACTAAGGTCAGTGGATGACCACAGGTGAGAGCCAGCTTCAATGTTTGCTTTCCTTTCTGGATTCTGGCTCCCATAAAAAAAAATTTGGCCTCTGAGGATTTCCTTTTCTTAAAGGTCAGTTAGGCATATAAAAAGATGTTTTAATATTTGCTTTACATTTTTAGTGGGAGGACTTTCCAAGATATATAATCTATACTTTTCCCAGAAATAAAAAACTTTATTTTTTTTTTCCTTTTCTAAATCACTGTGGTCATACCTTTACCTAATTTCATTGGCTATGTTAGCTTGCTGGCCTCCTAAGGGTATAAGGATAGAGACAGTGAAAGGTCAGCAGGTCATATCTACAGGCTTTAACAGGATCTGTAGTCATTCATTGCTCAAAGCCTAAATCAGAGAGCATAAGCTCACAAAGATGTTATATTTCCTAGAAATACTTGTAAGAATGCCTTTGAGGGTGGTACATCCAGTTATTAGGTGTATATATAAAGGATATATTTAGAAAATGGGCAAGTCAACACCAAAGTAGGGAATTCACTTTTGTAGGTAACAAGTCTACCCAGAAGCTATTTGGATAACAGTGTGTTTGCTTACCGGTGTCCACTTCTGTCCTTTTTCCAAGATCATGAAGTGTGTGTTGTCTCCTAAGGTCTGAAAGAACTCCTCTGTGTCCACCACAGTGCCATCTTCCTCCAACACCAAAGTGACCAGTGTGCTGGTGATAAGTAGGGCGTCCAGAGTCTAGGTTGGCAACACATCAGAGATATTTGACCATTCACAGCCATTGATGACATCATAATTTCAGAAGAGCAGGTGGATTTTGATAAAAATTTAATGGTCAAGATATATCTTAATTGGTGTCTGTGATTCAGTCTTGGCTTGGAAAAAGACAAGTTAATTAAGATTTTTAAGGGATCTATCTTCAGAGATTTCAATGACATGAGATAAATGGTTACATTTAATAATATTTACAATTTCCAAAATTACCTACTTATTTTGACAAATAAAAAAGAATAATCCTGCACATATGATATTTAAGGAGTTTGAGTCTTATGTGGCATATATGAATGTCTCTCTTACTTCAGAGCCTGCATGTTGGATGCTTGTTTCTCATTTCCATAGGTGTCTGTGTCTGGATTATGCCTCCATGTGATTCTTATTTTATGATCTAGGACACTTAGATTAAGGACTATTCTTCCCTGGCCTTTATAACAAAAAACAGATTTCCAAAGTCTGCTGCTTCCCTATATTCTCTCTTGACAAATAAATACAGCTTTTTTTTTTTTTTTAAATCAAATCATGATGGTTTGTAAGCTTTTTGTCTTTGTGCCTAAATCTCTTATGGTACAAAGGTACAATAATGTTTCCTTTCATTCTTTTTTACTCTTTTAACCACTTAGAAATGGTCCCCCTTAGACTTTTCAAGGCCAAGGCATGGACATTTCTGTCTTTGCACTGGCTTAGCACCACGACCCTGAGCCTTTTGAGGACCGCTGGGGAGGCACTGTGGCTGGTGGTACCTTGCTGAGCAGCTCCTTCAGGCTGCTTGCCATCACTCCCCGCCGGCTGCTTCGGTCATGGTTGGAGACACGGAAGGGGCGAGCTGAATGCATGAGGGGAGTGAGTAGGACTCTCTTAGTCTGTGATCCCACAAATGTCAGGGGCCTGGAAATGGAGAACAAAAGCAAAAATTATATTTGACATTACTTTTTAAAAAAAGTCTTTAAAGAGAGGTTTGAAGCATACAGAAATCAAACAATTTTAATATCTATACCTAAAAGAAAGAAATACAATGGTTGGAAATTATTAAAAATTATGTTTTAGTATTTATTTATCTACCAATATCCAAGGAACAAAAAAATAAATAAAATTAAAAACACAACCATTATTACACCAGAAAACTCAAAGTTCTTGCAGTGCAACATTATAATCTGGATCTAGAAACTGATTAAAAATGAAATTCTTGCTGAAAGAAATTGCAGAAACCAACCAACCAATCAACCAAAGTCCTTGCAGTAACTAGTTGAGAAAGAATGATAAAGGCATTAAAGGAAATAAGAATTATATTCTGGCCCTGACAGTGGGTTGGGCATTGTCTATAAACTGAAAGGTTGCTGGTTCCATTCCCAGTCAGGGCACATGACTGGGTTGCACACACAAACCTACACACACACAAAACTAGTTTCATATTTGTACAATAAGACCAAGCCAGAAATTGATAAGCCAGATATTGATCACTATAGCAATAAGCCAATTTTTAAAAATTAAGTTAGGATCAACAAGGAACAGAATACTATCATAATTGTGGTTGGAATAACAATTTTTAAAAATTAAGTTAGGATCAACAAGGAACAGAACTTTGGGCATTATGTGATAGGACACTATAAAAAAAGAACTAACAAGGAGAAAGAAAAGAATAATAGCAAAACAAATCAAGACAATTTTTTGAGGAAAACAAATTTCCAACCTATGATTATTAAATTTTCATTACCTAACAACTACCAAAAAGTAATAAAATGGGTAAATGAGAAATACAATAGCAATACAATAGCTGATAAGATGCTTACTACTTTAGAAGTTATTTAACAAACTCATATTTTGCTTTATAAATATTAACTCAGTCCTCAGAAAGCTCTGTGATAGTCTTAATCTTCTCAATTTACAGATGAGGAAAATCAGTCCAGTGAGCAGTTTATAGCCAGTAGGAGCCAGAGCTGGGATTTAGCCCCAAGTATCTGTTCTTTGTCTAGTAAAGGTGATACAGTTAGTTACTAACGAAATAATAAGAAAAGTTTGCATATTAGTGAAAATATGAAGCTTTTGATAGCAATTAAAGAAATGTGAAATCACCTTTGATACTCCACCACATACTTAGAAACCAATATGCAAGAAGTTCTTAAAAAATAACTCCATAAGAGGAAACAGATGTGCCTTGCTCAAAGCACTAAAGGGTGGTTCACTCTTTTTGGGGAACAGTCTAGCAGCATGTAGAGCTTTCACTCAAGACTGTAGACTATTTTAGGGCCAAGATGGAGGTGTAGGTAGATACACTTTGCCTCCTCGCACAACCAAAAGAAAGACAACCACCAATTTTAAAACAAAAAATTACCAGTCTGCCAGAAAATCACACTGTATGAAAGTCCAACAACCAAGTAGTTAAAGAAGAAACATTCCTCCAGACCGATAGGAGGGGCGGAGATGGGTAGCCAGGGCAGAGAGGACACCCAACAAGGTGGCAGCCAGAGGACCAGGCACGTGAGGCGGTGGCAGGTGGTCTGAGTGGGACATTTGTGTGTGGATAAACCAGAAGGAACAGCTGGGAAGCTAGACAGACCGCGCAATCCAGGGTTCCAGTGCAGGAAAAGCAAGCCTCAAAACCTCTGTCTGTAAAAACCTGTGGGGGATGAGGCAGTGGGAGAACTCCCAGCCTCACAGGAGAGTTTGTTGGAGAGACCCACAAGGTCCTAGAATGTACACAAACCCACCCACTCGAGAATCAGCACTAGAAGGGCCCAATTTGCTTGTGGGTAGCAGGGGAAGTGACTGAAAGATGGCCAGGAGCCAAGCAAGCGGCATTATCCCTCTCTCAGACCCCTCTGCCACATATAGTATCACAACACAGCAACCTGGGTTGCCCTGCCCTGGTGAATACCTAAAGCTCCGCCCCTTCCAAAATAGGTGTGCTGAGACACAGAAATATAGCCCAAATGAAAGGACAGATCAAAGCTCCAAAAATAGAACTAAGTGATAAACAGATAGACAACCTATCAGATGCATAGTTGAAAACAGTGGTAATCAGGATGCTCACAGAAATGGTTGAGTATGGTTGCAAAATGGAGGAAAAAGTGAAGGCTATGCAAAGTGAAATAAAGAAAAATTTACAGGGAACCAAGAGTGAGGGGAAGGAAACTGGGACTCAAATCAATGATTAGGAGCAGAGGAAAGAGATAAAAAGTCAACCAGAATAGAATGAAGAAACAAGAATTCAAAAAAATGAGAGGCTTAGGAACCTCTGGGACCACTTTAAACATTCCAACATCCAAATCCTAGGGGTGCCAGAAGGAGAAGAGGAAGAGCAAGAAATTGAAAACTTATTTGAAAAAATAATGAAGGAGAACTTCCCCAATCTGGCAAAGTAAATAGACTTCCAGAAGATCCAGGAAGTTCAGAGAGTCCCTAAAAAGCTGGACACAAGGAAGTGAGGCAGGAGACAGCATAGGAAGAACTCTGAGGCTGCACTGCTGTTACTGGCCAGGGTCTAGCATCCTGGTTGCCAGGAAATGCTTTTTATCACTTAGGTAGAATGAATAGTAAACGAAGGCAAAGAGGAGGAGGGAGACACATCTCACCTGCTAAGTTGGCAGTCCTGAGCCTGGTCTGATAATATTGCCAGGTGTTCCAACATCACAAGAAACACTATATTAGCATGGGAGGAGGGAAGTCCTTGAAATTCTATGTAGTGTTTCCACTATCTGAAAAGAAAGCCTCGAAACTGTGCTTTCATCCCACGGCCTGAAATGTGGGAGAGGGTCCACAGTGCCCAGAGAAGCAGCCCATAAATACTTCAGGTAACTGTTCCAACTTTAATTAACTGCCTCATGTCACGTATCTGTTTTACAACAAGAGGAACAAATGAAGTCTGTAGCAAGGTAAGGATTCAGGCAAACAGACCCCCCCCACACCTAAGTATGGGTAGTCACATTCCCTCGGGAAAGCTGGCACCACACTTACCTGTTAATTAATATGTAACATTTTTGCTCCCAACCACCAACTATATAAGTCCTTAAAAAAAAGGACTCATACTCTCAGCGCTCTCAGGGCGTTCTTAGTGTTCTCTTGGAGCACTGGACGCTCTTGGTGTTCTGCGTGCTCTTGGCTCTCTGGCCACCTGGCCTCAGGCCTCCCAGGGGCTTGCCGCCCCCGCCTTCAGCTGTCCTTACTTTTGCTGCCCTGCTTTGCTCTGAACCTCTGCCTTTCACTCCCCTCCCCTCCAATCTTAGCTTGGCCCGTTCTGTTCCACAGGAACGGATCACTAATAAACTCTGATTGCACGCTACTAGATTTGCTGATATGTAATTCTTTACATACCTCAGCAAGAAGAACCAGGTCTCTCCTGTCAACAGAAGCACATACGAAGGCTCATCATAATTACATTACCCAAGATTAAAAATAAGGAGAGAATCTTAAAAGCAGCAAGAGAAAAGAAGACAGTTACCTACAAAGGACTTCCCATAAGATTATCAACTGATTTCTCAAAAGAAACCTTGCAGGCAAGAAGGGGCTGGAAAGAAGTATTCGGTCTTGAAAGGCAAGGACCTATATCCAACATTACTTTATCCAGCAAAGCTCTCATTTAGAGTAGAAGGGCAGATAAAGTGCTTCCCAAGTATGGTAAAGTTAAAGGAGTTGGACATCACCAAGCCCTTATTATATGAATTGTTAAAAGGACTTATTTAAGAAAAAGATGAAGATCAGAAACTATGAACAGTAAAATGATAACAAACTCCCAACTATCAATAACTGAATCTAAAAAACAAAAACAAACTAAGCACACAACTAGAACAGGAACAGAACAGAAACGGAGATCAGAGGGGAAAGAATGGGGGAAAAGGTACAGGGAATAAGGAGCATAAATAGTAGGTACAAAATAGACAGGGGGAGGTTAAGGATAGTATAGGAAATGGGAATGGAGCACCAAATAGGAGGCCAAAGAACTTATATGCACGACCTATGGACAGAAACTAAGGGAGGGAGGGAATGTTGCTGGGAGGGGGGTGCAGGGTGAAAGAGAATTAAAGGTAGGAAAAAAATGGGACAACTGTAATAGCATAATCAATAAAATACATATTTAAAAAAAAGACTGTAGACTATTTTATATGTAGGAATATATCCATAAAGAATTTATTCAAAAGAATATAAATAGTAATTAGCTCTTTGTAAAGTATGATTGTCTAACCAATATAGTGTATACCTAAAAGCAGTACAAAATAATATTGAAAGTAAACTGTGATTGAAAAATAAAAATTAAAATTAAAATGAAGAAATTAGCCCTGGCTGGGAGCTCAGTTGGTTAGAGCATTGTCCCAAAACATAAATGTTGCAGGTTCAATCTCTGGTCAGGGCACATACAAGAATTAACCAATGAATGCATAAATAATTGGAACAACAAATCAATGTCTGTCTGCCTGCCTGCCTCTCTTCCTCGCTTTCTCTCTAAAATTGATATATAAAAAATTTAGAAAAACAATGTCTAAAAAAAAGAATTAGCGTTTCAGGCAGATCTTGCTTCATGTTGGGTGCTGTGATAAGTGATAATGTGACCTCATTTAACCCCCTCAACCCCTAAGGCACCAGCACCTATGGCTGCACTCTTCCCAGAGCAGTTCCCACCTATTTCAGATGCTCAAATAGTTGTTGATAATTTGGACAAATACTTGTACAGTGAGATTTTAGAGAATGACATAATGGACAACCCTGTAGAAGATGCAAAGGACGGACCTGCCTGCTTTCTAACACTTAATGACAGCTTGTTTAATTCAGTGTAGGCTAAAATTCTAGAGAACACCTATGCTGCTTTACAATGTCCGTCACCTAGGATTTAGCACTTTATTTTATACACACATAGTGTCATTTATTCATCTATGCTTTGTTTTCCCAAATAGATTGGAATTTCCTTATGGACAAAGTCTTCTTTGTTGTATCTTCCATAATGCCTAGCTTAGTGCTAGGCATAGAACTTTTACATAATATATTGCCTAAACTGAAGCTTTATAAATGAACATGAGTGAAAATTCAATGCCTCACCAAGTAGTTTGCTATAGGAAAATCTAATCATATCATAATGAACCAGCTCTCAAATATTGTGAGGCCCAGTTCACGCTACCAACAGTTGAAGGAGGGCTCCCATAATAGTGAGTATTTGTACCATATCCCTATGTCTTATTGAGATATTATTAAGATCAGAGTCAGCAAGTGCTAGCACAGGGGTTTGAATCCAGCCCTAGCTTTCACTACATGGTGTCTTCCCTACCATGTACAAATTCTCATGTAGCAGAGGGGAATTCTGGACCTTTAACAGCAACAGCTTCTCCTCCCCCAAAGTGGGAAGTCATTGCCATTGCCCATGAGGCCTTCTAGAATCTATGCTCACTGAGACTGGGTCTGTCTGTGCATTTTTTACTTCCCCACAGAGCTGTGCTCTGTGTTGGAACATGACCTAGTCACTGAGTAAAAGATAGGCTAGGACAAAATCAGAGAGGCGAGAGAACAAAGTTCATGTCTTGGAATGCCAGGTCCATGTCCTGGTGTCCAATGGCATACCTTGTGGGCATGAACAGCTTTGACCTAGTTGGTCCCATATCTTTCCATTGGATACAAACACTCACACCTGCTCCAGTGACCTAGCACAGCTGACTATACAAAGTTCTTATTGTCCTGTAACTTCTAACAAGACAAGAGCTGGCAGTCATTTCTGGTTCTCCCTCTTCACACTGCCCTCAAGATAGTCATTCCAGATAAAAAAAAAGGGGGGGATGCATACAGTCTATTGTTCTTCTTATCCATTACAGGAGAGCTCGGCCATTGTTGGATAAAAGGCTTATGGAAGACACATAAAAATTTTTGAAGACATGAAAATTAAATTCTGTCCTTTTTTTCAAGGATCAGGATGAGTGATTGGATGTTCCAAATTATGTAAAATCAAGATTGTCTTATATACAACATAAAAAGGGGTTATATTAAATTTTACATACATTAAATCTATTTAACAAATACTATATGAGTACTTACTCTGCTCCAGCTAAATGAACAGCAGGGTTAACCAGCTGGCTACATGAGCAAAGCAATACAGGGTGGGACAAAAGTAGGTTTCCAGTTGTGAGTATGGGAAACACACAGTTTATTCTTGTATTATTATTTATTAATTATTGCATTATTTTCCATATGAACAACTATAAAAACCATAAATCTACTTTGTCTCACCTTGTGTATTAATCCATTTCACTTTTGGTTTTCTTAGTAGAATAATTTATGTTACTGGCCATTAGCACAACGCCTAAAATGTGTCGCTATCTCCCCCTCAATTTCTTACTATATCAACGTTGAAACAGGAGCACTGAAAATCCTTAGAATTCTGCTTTTAGATACATCACACATCAGTCATCTCAAACCCCTGGAAAAGTGCAGACAATCATATGAAGCAGGAAGGGAAACAGCCCACTAAAAGGAAAAATACAAACAAGGAAATAAACAATGATGTTCAGCTATGCTGTTCAAGGAAATTGACTGTTTCAGGGAAATCAAGATGATAAGAGAAGTCAGACTTCATAGAATTAATCTTCAAAATTGTAAAGGGACACATATTTCAGAAGTGAGGGAAACAGAGAGTCTTTGTATTTTTCCTCAAGGGAACAAAGAGTCCTCAACTTATAACAGTGTGAGAAATAAAGCAACAAACAGACTGACAGTGGACATGAACTTTACTCCAGTAAAACAAAGTGAACCCCCATGGGCCATGAGAAAGCGACTTTATACGGAACCCTGTGGGTTGATGTTTATTCGGAAAGAATGGCCAGGAACAAGGTGTCTCTCAGCCAGAGAGAAACATTTTGGTGTCAGTAGTGATAAGGTGGCTTCATAAGGCCAGGTAAGACACTGCTCAGGAGCTATACAGAGTGAAACAATGGCTGAGGGAAGCCCGCATTTCAGTGCTAGGTGGAAAAAAGGAACATATAGTAATAAAGCACAGACAGGGGTAGGATAAAAGTAAACTAAGCACTATCACCAAAGTCAAGAGTGACAAGAGAATGTTAAGGAGGGAAGTGTTGATTGCAAATAAGAGAATACAGAGAAATAAGACAGCTTGGGAAATATTCCTCCGCTTTGGTGAGGTTTCCATGAGCTGTAGAAATTTACTTATAAGGAAACTCAGCTTATATCCCTAAAAGTACCATGGTAAAAATTGCAGCTAGACAAAAGCTAGAGTTTCTTGTTCAAGAAGAGGAAAGATACAGCTAAACAGCTACAAAAGCACCTATTTTGCAAAATATATACATCAGCTTTAAAAGAACTTCAGAGTTGGCCTGAATGTTATCACTGATAGGACAAAAAAGACAGGGCAGGTTTTGTCTGGGACAGCACACGCATGTGGACATCCTCAAAGTCCGGTGTGTGCTGAAAGACTTCAGGCTCCTTTCATGATGACTAAGGCCTTTAGTGATTACAGACGATTAATGAACTAATGACTGGTTAAAGATTTGATCATTGCTTATGTGTAGCTGATTAAAAAGATATGATTAAGTCACTTCCTTGGCAAAATGCAGTTATTTGCTAATAAAAGACAGAGTTAAGTCCTGGCTGGTATGGCTCAGTGGATTGAGTTCCTACCTGGGAACCGAAGGGTCACCGGTTTGATTCCCAGTCAGGGCACATGCCGGGGTTGCAGGCCAGGTCCCCAGCTGGGGGTGTGTGAGAGGCAACCCATTGAGGTATCTCTCACACATCGATGTTTCTCTTCCCCTCTTTTTCCTTCCCTTCCCCCCCTCTAAAAATAAATAAGTAAATCTTTTTTTTTTTTTAAGAGACAGAGTTAAGACATACTCTACCAGCTAGTTTTATTAAGGAGCACTGAGAGGAGATAGAAATCCTGTAAGACCATAATTACAAATGTGGCAGCTACTGGCTCATGTGGCTCCTTAGCCTGGACATGGTTTTAAAGAAGGGCCAGGAAAAGAAGTGTGTTCTTTTCAACAAGTATTACAGATTGTTTTCTTCCTATTTAGTTTGGAAGCAGGTAGAGTACAAAGAATTACAGCTGCTCAATTTGGAAGCAGGTAGATTTCAAAGAACTGCAAAAACATATAGTCAACCACACTTACAGCTTGCCAAGCTCAGAAGGAAGGTGTTTCAGGAGATAAGATATTTCCTTATGCTTTGATTTGCCAGTATTTCATAAGCCAGTTGCTTCCCACACACTTGACCCCATGGAAACCTCGTAACAGATGCATCTTGGATTTGGGGACACTGTTATAGGGGTCAGGTGCAAGGGCAGGGTCAGCCTTAATTCTGCAGGCGTTGCCTCCTCCTCCTGGTCCAGGCAGTGCCAGAGAAGAGGCAGTGCTCTCTTACCAATCCTTAATATCCAGGCCACCAGCTCCTCAGTGTTCTGAGGAACTTGGAGAGTGGGTGCTTGGATGTTCATGGGAGAAAAGTCTGGAGGATGAACTCTATACTGTGCACAGTTGTTATGCTTGGGAGTGGATGGGGTGGGGGGGCCTGGGCGGGTCGTGCTGGAAAGTGAATGAAAACAGGAAAGAAACCAAGGGCTTTACCTTTATGTTTAAACCATGTTGGGAATACATATGAATCAAGTCTGTTTCTCACCTTCCCAGGATTCCACCGCCTGACTTCCGTTTTTCTGCTTTTGTATGTTTACAAAGAGAAAGCCAGTGCAGTCCAGACTGATCATCTATACATTTTGGAAGCTGTTTTTCTAACCTTGAGTTTTAACGCACAGCCTCTAATTTTGTAAAGTGATTCTCCCTTCCCTTTTACCCGCCCTGTCCCTCCCCTCCATACAAATAGGATCCATCATCTCTGAAAACCTGCATTTTAATGTTCTCAAAGTTTTCTCCATCCTCTCTGAAGTACTTCGAAGATCTTCAGAGAAACATGATCTCTCCTTTAAACCTATAAAGCTACCACCACACCAGATCTTTAGGATTTATCGACAGGGGTTGGTGTGGTATGTCAGGATGGGGAATAAGCTCAGGAGAGGGAAAGGAGTGGAGCCAGGCCGAGAGGCTGCGGGGTCTGCGGCCCGGGGCTCCTGCCTGGACAGCGTCGCCACCTTTGGATGCAGCGAACAGGAGCAGGGCTTCCCTCCAAACTCTCCTTACAAATCCCGTGGGCTCAGCGAGCTGGGGCCAGTCAGCCAACCCTCCCATTGGAGCCCACAGCCCTCACTCGCCCGGAGGGATAAACCTGGGCGCCCGAGGCCGCTGAGCGTCCCCAGCAGCGCTTCTCCCATGCCCCAGCTCCCGTCGCGAACCTCAGGGCCCCGAGAAGCCCTGTCCCCACGCACCGTGCAAGTGTTGCTCTGAGTTCCCGGGACGTCGCCCTCATCTGCGTCGGCCGCCAAGGCAAGAGATGCGGTCACTTACCCACTCACCCCTGTCATGTGCTCCGCCGACACCCGCGCACCTAGGGCCCACACACCTGATGCCTGCAACCAGCTGGACGAGGGGGCGGAGACGCGCGACGGGCTCTGGCCCTACCTACCCAGCTGGCCCGCGGCGTGGTCGCCAGGAAAGTAGGTCAGTGAGCGGGGACCCGGGCTTTGGGGAGCGTGGGAATGTGGAGCGCAGGGGTGCAGGGGCAGAGAAATCGCAGAGGGGAAGGAAGTGAGGGGCTCGCTGGGATGCCGGGCGCAGGAGGGTGCAGGGCACCTTGCTCCGGATGCGGGGTCCGCGGGGGCTCAGGCGTGGTGCTGAGCCCAGCTAGCGGGGAACTCGCCTGATGAGGGCTCCCGCGCAGTCCCAGGCCATCTCCGAGGTTCGGGGCCCCTCTAAGAAACGGCCGCCCTCCGCGCGCACCGCCTCTTAAAGCACCACCGCCGGCCCCGCCCCACAGCGGCCGGACCCGCCCTGGGAGAAGACCTTAAGCGACGGGCTCGCCTCGGCCAAAGGTCGCGGCGCAGCGTCCTGGGAGCGCGGCGTAGTCCACAGACCCTCTGGCCGCTACGAGGGGAGCAGCTCTCCACCGCTGCGAACAGTTCCGACGACCCTGGAATCCCAGATGTTCCAGGGTTACTTGATGGTCGTGTGTCAGCCTATGTTTGCTTTGCACTTTCAGGTTGGAGCAGTTGACATCATCAACCCCGACAAAATGGCTTTCGTTGTGACACGGCGGATGTGCTATTTTAAACCCAAGCCACAGAATGGAAGGGTGTAGTACATGCTCTTCGCCTTAGTGACCCCCCAGGCAGCGCCCAGGCAGCGCTGGGGCTGGCCCCGCCGACGCCAGGTTCCAAGTTCCACGAGCCAGCGGGGTCCTTGCAGCGGTGAGGATGTGTGGCACTAGTGGGACACACCAGAGGCGCCTTGGCTTCCGCCCCGTTAAGTTGCCTCCTGGCTCTGTCACGGACATTTCGGGGGCAGAAAGAAGGGCATTCAGAATAGAGGGGTAAAGGAACCATTGGACATCAGTGACAACCTTTTTGCTATAAGTACCGGACTTTCTCAGAGGAGGGAAGGCAAGAGGAAACAGAGTCAGGTCTGAGGGTGATTCTATCCACCTCCGGCTTACACAGATGTTCTTATAGGAAGATGCAGTTCCCCTCGATTTAGACAATTGAAGAAGCAGGGTGGGAGGTGGTGCTTCTCAGGGATTCAATGGAGCTCTTAATTACAAAATTGAAGAAGTTTCTTGAGCAGGTAAGGATTGGTACAGATCCTTAATTCCAGCCCTTTAAAAGGTGTAACTTTCTGGGATAGAGATTTGCTCGAGCATACACTCCTGCATAAAATCAAGTGATTGGTTCTACACACTGCTAGCAACCGCTGATTACCTTATTGTAAATCATGTTTCCAAAGAGCTGTAGCTTGACCTGAAGCTCGTTTCTCCTGCCTTAACTTGTTTTTAGCACATTGACTTGCTTCCTTAAATCGTTCCTCTTCCTGCCTGCCCTCCTCCTCAGCTGAACTCACAGAAGCAAACACACACTTCTTCCCCTTCAGGGTCATCAGTGCCAAGAAGCCTCGTTTGACATGCAGGAATGTTGAAACCAAAAGCAATTTCCTTCCAGATTTCTGAACCCCAAGTGGCCTACTGGGAACTCCACAGTCCCAGGGCTCAAGGAGGGGTTGTTACCTGCCCAGAACCACTGGGACTGGAAGGGGCCTTAAGAGATCATTAGCTACCCCTCCCACTGACACCCTGATATGGTGTCAGTTTGTCCCCCTCTCCCCCTCCCTGCCACATTCATATATTGAAATCCTGATGCCCAGTTTGGGAGGTGCTTAAGCCTTGAGTGCAGAGCACTCTGGAATGGGAATAGCACCTTATAACAGAGGCTCCAGCCTTGGCCAGGTAACTCAGTTGGCCCGAGCATCCTCCTGGTATGCTCAGGCGGTGATCCCCAGTCTGCGCACATACAAGAAACAACCAATGAATGTGTTCATAAGTGGAATGACAAATTGATGTTTCCCTCTCTCTCTCTAAAAAATTAATAGATATAAAAATAAAAGAGGCTCCGGAGAGACCCTTAGCTCCTTCTGCCACAAGAGGCCGCAATGAGAAAAGTCGGCCAGCTGTGAAGCGGGAAGGGCGGCCTCCCCAGAACCCAACCACGCTGTCACCCTGATCTTGCGCTTTCAGCCTCCAGAACTGTGAGCGGTAAGTTTATGTTGTTTACAAGCCGCCCAGTTATAAAATTCTCTTTTTTATACTAAGTATTTATTTGTATGCTGCTGCCAGTGTACATAAAATAATCATCCTTGTGAAATAGAAATTCATGAAAATTCAGAGAGGTAGACACTAAGGAGTGCCAAAAGCAGGTTTGTATGTATAGTGTGGCACATGTTACAAGGATAAGCTTTTTGTACGGGCTTCAAATTTAGCTTTCTCTGAGTATTGGCATGAAAAGTGGTTTAGAACATCTTCAAAGATTCATTCACTACAAAAATAAACAGACTTTCTGGGGTCTGAAGGGAGTGGTAGTTGAAGATAACTCCAGTCAGCAGGGGGTCATGTTGAGGAGTCTGCAGACAGAATTTTCAAATCTGCAGCTGCCAGGGAAATCTGGTTGAGCCTTGCCTTCCGCTGGAGCTGTTGAACCACTTTCTTCATAGCGGTGGCCGTGGAGGAACAGACATGGTGCATGCAAGGGCTGGGCAGATTGATCAGTAGCGGATTGGTCAGTCGTTGGTCCATGGGGCCAGACAGTGGGGCAGCGATGTTAAATCCTTTAACTTGCACCTCTGGAGAAACAAGATCATTATCATATATACTGACATCATCACTCCTAACAAAATAAGTGATCTAGTAGCACCTAATAGTTTATAGTGAAGCTCCCCTTCCATTCTGGTTTATTGGTACCTTATGTATAAGGGAGTATACCCATGCTTGAGATACAGTGTATTAGACCTGTTCTGAAGCAGCAAAGGTCAGTATCAGGTGATTCTCACACACCAATAACCAATCAGGGCAATAGGTACTATTCAATCACCTATTCCTAGGGCCCAGAGAGGCCTCTGCTGTCAGGAGGCATTTAGTGTAGGCTTGTTAATGACTGACTGAATGAATGAGGTGCTATATTAGCAGTAATATATGAATGGAAATTGCAAAGGGAACAAAGTAATGAATTCTGCCCAAAAGGTGTCCAGGAAGGGACAAGCATGAGTGAGGTGAGTGGTGTGTGTGTGTGTGGGGGGGTAGTTGTGACTATTCTGCACTGCTTTTCGGAAGACTGAGGGCACAAAGGGACAGACAATAATGGCATGTCTGGCAGTCCTGGGTGAGTGTGCGGGCATTCTAGAGGAGAATGGTAGGAACCAATTAGGCAACCATGTCAGAGTGAATCTGCATAGTCCTGAACACATAGCGGGTGTTTCCCTTAGTGGGGAACCAGTCAGAGTGGCAGGGCGACCTGTTCAGACATAGATTTGAGAAGGACATTCTGGGGTTGGCACAGAGGCAAGACTGGACCAGGGGAGACTGTAGGTGATCCAAGTAAAGACAAGAATCAGACCTGGGCACTGACAGTGGGCATAGAGAGGAGGAAGGAGCCAGGGGAGATTTTATAGGATGTGGGGATGAATAAGCAGGGGAGCAGCTGGAGACAATTGCAACATTTCTATTTTGGGAAACTGGGGAGGTGGCATGCCTTTAATTGAGATGAGAAATACCAGTGGGAAACAAGTTTGTGGTTGGAATTGAGATTATGTTGAAATCTATGGGCCTGTGGACCACACTCAGAAGTGTGGGTTGGTGCTTGCGGAGAGGCCCTAGCTGTCGGTCAGTGCCAGCCAGCTACCTCCCTGCTCCTAAGCAGGGCTCTGTGTCATACAAGTGGGTGGTTCACACCAGGAGAGTGTCTGGAGAGGGAGATGAGGGCAGGGCATGATGTACTTCTAAGAGCTTGGCTGAAAGCCCAACAGACAGCCACAAAGAAAATGGGTGAGGAGGCAGCACATGCCCAGATGTACTGGGAGAGTGCCTTTCTAGCACTTTTCCATCTTCTGGCTCTCATACAAACTCCTTTCTCATTCAGCATTGTTTAGTATATTTTATTCAGCAACTACTATGTTTCAGTGCACAATTCAGCCACTGATTGTTGACATGTCCCTGTAGAGCCTGTGTGTGTGTCCCTCTGACAGTGTGCCTGAGGGAGGAGGCCTTCCAGCATGCGGACCTTCCGGCTCCCTGCAGCTGTCTACGGGGTGATGCTGCAGATGTCTCTACCCCTTCGCCAAGGCAGGGCTTCTTCTGTCCTCTCAGAGTCCTGTCAGGTGATAGGCAGAGTGCATACTCTGGAGCACTGAGACATGGGTTACTAGCCTGGCTCTACCTCATTCGAGGAGGGTGACCTTGCCCAGCCCTCAGATCATCTATAAAAAGGCACAGGGCTCTCTGTGTCATGTGGTTGGGGAAGAATCAAATCCTGTGAGAGGCAGGCTGGCCTAACCCAGTGCCCAGCCCAGCGTGAAGATGACTATCATACAGGTGGTGGACAGCTGGATTCCAGTGCCTTAGCTGGGGGACAGGGGCAGTTTCCTGACATGGAAACTGCTTCTCATGTATGGGGGCTGCATTACAGAGAACACAGGTGCTTAAGCTCAAAGAAACTTTCACAACCATCTAATCCTATTTCTATATTTTATGAAGTGGATAAAACAGTGAACATTGAGTCTGAACCTTGGCCTTGCTACTTTCAGATTCGTTGAATGTAGGCAAGTTTTCATTTCTGTTTTTTAAAAATGAGCTTGAATTTCTTTCTTTTTTTTTTAATGCATTTTTAAAAAATTTTTTTAAATTTATTTTTTCAAATACATTTGTCTCTGCCTACCCCCTACCACTTTCCCTTGCCCCCTCCATCGTGCCTTCCCTCAGCTCTTCCCCTTTGGTTTTGTCCTTGAGTCCTTGCTATATGTTCCTTGACTTACCCCTTCTCTTCCTTTTCCACACCTCTCTTCCCTCCTTCCCTCTTGTCTCTGTTGGTTTCTTTTCCTTTCAGTGTTGCTGGTCTTATTTTCCTTGCATCTTTGTATTGTTGGTTAGGTTCCACTTATAGGTGAGATCATATGGTATTTGTCTTTCGCTCCCTTGCTTATTTCGCTTAGCATAATGCTCTCGAGTTCCATCCATGCTGTCGCGAAGTTTAGTAGTTTTTTTTTTCTTTCTGCTGCGTAGTATCCCATTGTGTATATGTAACATAATTTTTTTATCCAGTCATCTACTGATGGGCATTTAGGTTGCTTCCAACACTTGGCTATTGTAAATTGTGCTGCTATGAACATTGGGGTGCATAGGTTCTTTTGAATTGGCATTTTGGTATTCTTAGGGTATAGTC